CATTTTATGCTCCCATCAATCTTAAAATACAGTGGGTCATTGGAAAAGTCATGATGCATTTTTGCATAGCAAAACAGAAAAATACATCACGACTTTTCTGAATACCCAATAGTTACTATAATTGTCCTTTATTTAAACTGGAAGAAATAATGCTTAGAAATAGTAAATGACTTGCTCAAGATCACACAGCTAATAAGTGAAAAAGTACCTCAAACCTCAGGCTTCATGACTTCAAAGAAGCTAAACCATGTGCATATACATGGAGTTAATTTCTCTGCTACCATTGGGCAATTTTATAGATTTCAGAATATACTGAAGCCTTAATAAGTATTTGCTAAAAACTCTGTTGACTAGAACATCTCTGGCATATAGTTGGAGCTCAATAAATACTTGTTGAATGAATGAATGAATGTTTGTCATATACTAATTAAAAGACCTGGTGTTCCCCTCCCTCCTGTAGCTCCCCAGCATGCTACCCTGAGCGTTTTGCTGAGCTGGTGACCTCATCAATCAAAGGGTCTGAAGTCCAGATTATAATGTGATTAATGTATATTCATTACGATAAGGTGGATAGTGAATTCATATGGTCACTCCTTTATTACCGCTTTGTAAACATGATGATATTTTAGAAAATGTTTCCTTTCTATTCAAAGTTATATGCAAGGTTATATAAGAGGAAGAAATGTCTTTGTGAATCATTTATTTTATCTCCATGACTTCCCACTCTAATTTTTTAAAAAATAGATTAATCTTAGAGACCAAACAGGAAAGAGAAGTATTTCAGACACAGGGCAGAAACATCTTTAGATGGGTCACAGTTAATATACCCAAGGGCAGGGCCAGCAGATCACATAGCGGTTATGGCACTGGACTCCCACATGGACAACCATGATTTGAGTCCCAGGTCTGGCAGCTTGAAAATCACTCCAGGCACATGTGTGTGGGTACCCAAAAATCCCAGGAGGAAAATAGAGAAGAAGAGATTATGGAGTGGTCATATCCCCTGAGATGTGATTTCTCACTTTCCCTGTTACTATCTCTCTCTGTCTCTTACTAGCAAACACACACACCCTAAGGCAAAACCCTTAGCAAAAATAAAACATACAAATAAGCAAGATACACATGTTTGTGTACACACACACACACGGGCAACTTGTACCTTGACCTCTAAAAATAACTTGACCTAAGATACAGGAATATTTTGAAGGACGATCTCTGTCAAGCTTCAGACACTGTTATTTTACAGCTGAGCAAACCAGGGCTCAATGTAGGCAAGAACATATAACTGGCAAATAAAGAGATATAATTTGAATCCAAGCCTCTAAAATCTTGTTCTTTTTATTATATTATGCTGCCTGCTGTAAATGTACAACATCTATTTGAGATAAAGCCACCACTAAACCTAATTCAAAACTTTGCAATATTATGGGACTAGCAGTTAGCATAATGGCTATGTCGCTGGACTCCCATGTAGTCGACCGCGGTTCGAGTCCCCGACCCAGTGGCTTAAAATCACGCCGGGCGCTTGTGCGTGCGTGCCCAAGATCCTGAGAGGAGAATGGAGTAGAGCAGGGATTGCGCAATCGACATACTCGGTCGATTTCTCACTTTCTATCTCTCTGTCTCTCTCTCTCTCTGTCTGGCGAGCGCATGCATCCTATAGCAAAAACCTCTCCAAAATAAAAGAAAAAAGCTTTGCAATATTATGTGAAGCCAGAAAAATCAGTTTCTCACTGAGTAGTTCCAAGGAGACTTAGTTTAGTGATATCTATGTTCTTTTTTTTTTTTTAATGGATTTTGGCTGTAGGGCATGTGTACTCACCAGAGGGACAGAGAGAAACAGAGAGACAGAAAACGAGTTATCACTCCTGGGGGATGGCCATGCTGTAATCCCTTTTCCTTTATATTCCTCTTGGGATTTTGGGCATGTACACATAAGTGCCAAGCATGAGTTTTAAGCCACCAGGCCTAGGACTTGAACTGCAGGAGACTACATGGGAGTCCAGTGACATAACCATTATGCTATCTGTTGTTTTCAAATGATTTACCATTTCTTGGATCTCATCTTCAATCCACACTAATAAATGCCGGTCCATTGCAAAGGAACCAGGTTCCACTGCCTCTGCTGGAACATTGACAGCCTACATGTTGTAGTTGGGTTGGGAATGACCCTACAAGGGGCAAAGGTGGTATTTGGAGGGCATGTAACCCCTACATGATGCTCTGGGTTGATACAGGGCTAGAGTTTTCAATGATGTTTTTATTCAAGAGGCAATGTCTTAGTTTGATGTTTTGGTTTATGTTTTTAATTTTTTCATCCTGAGAAAGGTTGCTAAACATATCTGAGCCTCTAGTGAATGTTAGTACCTATTCACGGAAGTTTTAAAATGGAATAACAATAATCTCTCAATTATATTACCCATTTCTATCAACCAAAATATTTTAGATATAATCTCTCATTTGTTCCTCTGTTGCTACTCTCAGAAGTCAGTGGGGATGATTCTTCCCATTTTTAAGTGGAGGAAAATGACACTCAGAAGAATGTCCTTATTATGTTTGTTTATTCGTTTGAGAGATTTTTGCTATATGGTACATGCACTTGTCAGAAAGACAGAGACAGAAAGCAAGAAATTACCCCCTGGGGAAATAGCCACTCCACAATCTTTTCTCTTTATTCTCCTCTCAGGATTTTTTGGGCACTTACGCATATGCGCCCAGCGTAAGTATCAAGCTGCTGAATGCAGAACTCAAACATGTGGAAGCCCAGCCCCTTGACCACTACACTACAGGCTGGCCCCCATCCTTCTAATGTTTTTAAGAAGTTAAGGGATGGTGCCAACAGGTGGCATGGTGGTTGAAGGCACTGGATTCCCATATGGCTGACCATGTTTCGAGTACCAGACCTGGTGACTCACTTTCTCACTTTCCCTCTCTCTCTCTGTCCCTCTCTGATCAAACTGGAAAATAATAGTAATAAAGATAAATAAAGTTAAATAAAATAATTCTTTTAAAAAAAGAAGTTAAGGGAAACTGATATATTGCAGAAGTCAGTCTGTAGAATCAAATTGAACTGATTTTGGAATTCTGCTTAACCAGGTTTTAGATTAATGCCATTGGATATTTTGTTCTAACTCTCTGAGTGCAGATTTTATTACCCAAACAGGGACATACATAATGCTTAGCTTATATGTTTGTTGTGAAGTTCAATGAGGTAACAGGTGTGAAGCAACTAGCATCTACCATCCGTGGGGTACTTTCTTCTCCCATCTTTTTTCTTTTAATAACTGCCTTTGAAATACTTCAGAAAAAAAATGGTTTACAGAAAATTATCATTGACATGGTTGAAAGTAACACTGTTGTGATCTTAAAGTAATATCTCCAATAAATAAGTTAGTACTATTCGTTCAGTAACTACCACACTCAGAAGAGGGAGCTTCATGAATACTTCCTGATAAAAAATTATCTAATGTCTTTCATCTTACAAAAATCTACTTTCTACTTTCTAATTAAATGTCTTATATTAGAGATGATAATTAATCTTTCATGGGTACAATTTGTTAACTCTGCATTTTGTTATTAAATTCTTTCCAGTAGGTTTGTATATTGCAATGTAATTCATTTTTGCAATATTCTGTTTCATTTCAATTACAGTGCTTATTATAAGAGATTGGGTTTTCATTTAGCATGCTTGTTATTTTTAATTAGAAGTAGAAGTCTTAATGGGACTTAAAATTGTTGCATCACTTATTGTCAGAACCATAAACTCTAGAACATTTGGTGAATATGTAAGTATAGTAGTTTTCAAATTTCCAAAAGTGGGATGTGTTAAACTTTTACAAATATTTCAGACAATTCTAGTGGCATTTTGTATATACATTGTACTAGATGTACA